CTTGGATTTAGTCACTAGACCCCTATTGATGCAGGCCAAAATTCCATTACCTTTTTTTGCCGCCACATCACATTGTTGGCTCATGTTTAACTTGTTGCCCATGAGGACTCCAAATTCTTTTTCACACGTACTGCTCTCAACCCAGGCGTCCCCCATTCTGTATCTTTGCATTTCATTTTTTCTGCCTAAGTGGAGTATCTTGCATTTGTCACTGTTGAACTTCATTTTGTTAGTTTTGGCCCATCTCTCTAATCTGTCAAGATCGTTTTGAATCCTGCTCCTGTCTTCTGGAGTATTGGCTATCCTTCCCAATTTGGTGTCGTCTGCAAACTTGATGATCCTGCCTTCTAGCCCTTCATCTAAGTCATTAATAAAGATGTTGAACAAGACCGGGCCCAGGACGAAACCCTGCGGCACTCCACTCGTCACTTCTTTCCAGGATGAAGAGGAAGCATTGGTGAGCACCCTCTGGGTTCGTTCACTTAACCAATTACAGATCCACCTAACCGTAGTTTTGCCTAGCCCACATTTGACTAGTTTGTTTGCCAGAAGGTCATGGGGGACCTTGTCGAAGGCCTTACTGAAATCTAGATATGCTACATCCATGGCATCCACTGCTGGTCTCTTTGCATTTAGAATGAAGGTTTTGTTTGTTTGTTTTTGTCGTGTCAGGAGCAACTTGAGAAACTGCAAGTTGCTTCTGGTGTGAGAGAATTGGCTGTCTGCAAGGATGTTGCCCAGGGGATGCCCAGATGTTTTGATGTTTTACCATTCTTGTGGGAGGCTTCTCTCATGTCCCCGCATGAGGAGCTGGAGCTGATAGAGGGAGCTCATCTGCGCTGTCCCCGGATCTGAACCTGCAACCTGTTGGTCTTCAGTCCTGCCAGGACAAGAGTTTAACCCACTGCGGGCTCCTTGGTAATGTGGTAATGAGGTAATGTGATATGAATCTGTTCTCTGATACAAACCATGCATGATATGCTGGAATGTCCCAATAAAGCAGTTTCTCATAGAGTTTCCTATAGCATGGTTGTTGTACAATGTAAGAGAGTCCTTTAAGAATGGGAAGAGATGGGAAATACCATTCAAGAATACCGGGACACTGGGACTGGGAGTTTAGATTTCTCATCTTCATCTCATTGGGGAAGAGTTTTTAGTCCAAGTAGGACACCAGTTTAGCACAGCTAAGCTTCTTTGAATTGCAGCAGTTATGGACTACTGTGTCTAAACATGCATCTACACCAGTGTTTCTCAACCTGGGGGTCGGGACCCCCTGGGGGGGTCGCAAGGGGGTGTCAGAGGGGCCGCCAAAGGCCATCAGAAAACACAGTGTTTTCTGTTGGTCATGGGGGTTTTGTGTGGGAAATTTGGCCCAATTCTATTGTTGGTTGGGTTCAAGATGCTCTTTGACTCTAGGTAAACTATACACCCCAGCAACATAACTCCCAGATGGTAATGTCTATTTCCCCCAAACTCCTCCATTGTTCACATTTCGGCATACTGAGCATTTGTGCCAAGTTAGGTCCAGATCCATTATTGTTTGAGTCCACAGTGTTCTCTGGATGTAGGTAAACTACAACTCCAAAACTCAAGGTCAATGTTCACCAAACCCTTCCAGTATTTTCTCTTGGTCATGGGAGTTCTGCGTGCCAAGTTTGGTTCAATTCCATCCTTGGTGGAGTTCGGAATGCTCCTTGATTGTAGTGAACTATAAATCCCAGCAACTACAACTCCTAAATGACAAAATCAATCCCACCGAACCCCAGCAGTATTCAAATTTGGGCGCATCAGGTATTTGTGCCAAATTTGGTCCAGTGAATGAAAATACATTTAGCAAATCAGATATTTGCATTACAAAAATAACGTTATGGTTGGGGGTCACCACAACATGAGGAACTGTATTAAGGGGTCACGGCATGAGGCAGGTTGAGAACCACTGATCTACACTGTAGACTAGGAGCCCCCAGTGGTGCAGTGGGTTAAACCACTAAGCTGCTGAAATCCATCTGTAACTGGATTGACAGGTTGTGTACCTGTATGCTGAATACATAAAGGTTGTAAGGAAACCAGATATGTTACTTGTAACGAATTCTACTTTATTTTTGTCTCTTGAGAGCATGATATAGAAACAAGATATTTTATGGGAGAGATGTTTTGGAGCACTAAAAAAAAAACACTTCTGAAGAACTGCTATATTTTGTGCATTGGCATAATCTCTGTTCCTAACAGATCAGAAACAACTAGGTTTTCAGTCTAACAACTGAAAACCAAATTGCCTTGCATAAGTCCATGTGGATATATACCACTGAAGAGAAGATTTCTTTTCTCTGGAAGATCATACTTTTACAATCAGTTATGATTTTCAAATGGTTGTGAATGCCATTTTTCTCCAAAAGGTTATAGAGATTCTGGTTTTCCAAAATTCCACAATTTGGGATTTCACAAACTCATTCCTCATCACAGGGCACATCTGTTCAGGTAGGAGTGTTACTCTCATTGAGGCCACATCAGCCTTATGGTTGGATGGAGAATCTGTGGATACAGAGCGCCAGCTATAATTTTTTACATAGTGGCTGGTATGCTAGTTTTTATCCAAATTGGGTCTCCAGATGTTATTGAACAGTAACTCACATCACATCTGATTGTCCGCCATGCAGACTGGGGTTAATGGGAATTACAACCCAACAGCACTTGTGTCTTTGTGGTTAGGGAAATAAAAAGAACACTTTAAAACCAGTCATTATATCCACAAGCTTTGTATCTAAATCCAAATCCCAACGTCCTGACTAAATTGAATAAACCACAGCTTCTAAATGTTGCAGTATCACAATTTTCATCAGCTCTTCTCATGATGTCTAATGATGAGGGAAAAAGGAGTTGTAGTCCAGCATCTGGAAGGCCACAAAATGACAGGGCAGGCTGGATTTGGCTTGCAGGTCTTGAGTTTGACGTGTGTGTATTAAGGTGTAGCTTGCAATTTCCGTGGTATTGTGGAGCTTGTACAGATACAAGACCTTAACTCAAATAACTTTGTTTTGAAAACTGTATAAATGTAATTGAGAAAGAATGAAGTCAGCTAAAAATAGAATCCTTTCTACTTATACAAGGATGTTGCCAGATTTTTTAGGGGGATTTTGGACACTTTAGGACTTCAAACCCACTGGGAGATTTCATTTTGATGTTAACTGATTTTTTCCTCCGGTCACGTGAAATTGCTGGATTTATTACAGGAATGATGTCAAAAGGGGATTCACAAGCAATAAGAAGAAGTATTTCCTAATCAAGCATGCAATATTACAAGCAACATTCCTTCCATCAAAGGACAATAACCACTGGTTAGGATAATCCAAAGCTACTAACGTTCAGCTGTAGACCATTGAGCTTCTGCATTGAATTGAATTGTATTCAATTAGAAAAGGAAACAATCTGGCATTTGCTTATAGGTAAAGTCATTTTATGAGGCATTTTATTAATATACTGGCCATGGATTTTGTCCATTTAGCAAATTAAGCATAAATACCTAAAGTAGTGGTTCTCAACCTGTGGGTCCCCAGATGTTTTGGCCTTCAACTCCCAGAAATCCTAACAGCTGGTAAACTGACTGGGATTTCTGGGAGTTGTAGGCCAAAACACCTGGGGACCCACAGGTTGAGAACCAATGACCTAAAGCAGTGGTTCTCAACCTGGGGTCCCCAGATGTTTTTGGCCTACAACTCCCAGAAATCCCAGCCAGTTTACCAGCTGTTAGGATTTCTGGGAGTTGAAGGCCAAAAACATCTGGGGACCCCAGGTTGAGAACCACTGACCTAAAGGTACCGGATTTTATATTGGAAGCTAAGCAGGATTAGTCCTCATTAATACTTGGGTGGAAAACCACCAACAAATACCAGATGCTGTAGGTGATATTTCAGAGGAAGGAGCTGGCAAAACCACCTCTGAGGATTCCTATGAAATTCATGGGGTTGTCTAAGTTGACAGGCAACGTGAAGGTGCATACATACCCTTATGAATGTACAACAGGCAGTACCGTGTAGTTACAAACAGAGATCTTGTTCACTGATTGTGTAGTGTAAAATTGTGCCAGCTGAGACCATATCATTGAGCAAAGTGTGAAATGGGCACTATGCCTGTGCATTTTCTACAGTACAGTCATCAAACCAATTACCAACCCAATGTTAAGGGCCATACCTATGGACTCTCCTGTACAACACAACCACTTAACAATGTTTTACATTTTACATAGCAGTTGTACAATGCTGAATAGGATTCAGAGAAAGTGGAACTGCTTGCATAATTTTTAGGCTGAAAAGGCCCCCCTTGGCTTATACTCAAGTCAAGTTATTTATTATTTTACTTTGTTATTATTTTTAATTACATTTATTATTTTATATTATTATTATTATTATTACATTTACATTATTTTACTTTATTATTATGACATTATTTTACTCTATTATTATTATTACATGTATTATTATTACAGATATTATTTTACTCTACTGTTATTATTACATTTCCATTATTTTACTCTATTATTCTTTTTATTACATTTATTCTTTTTATTTTTATTCTTCTTATTATTATTGGAAGGTCACATAGCACATTTACATTGAAGGTAAGAATGGTTTAATCAGAGTTGTACAGTCTTATCTTAAATTACAGTTTTATGTAAATATTCAAAAACATTTGACCTACTTATGCCTCAATTAATGTAATTTTATTGGTATCTATTTTTATTTTTATTTTGAAATTTACCAGTAGCTGCTGCATTTCCCACCCTTGGCTTATACTTGAGTCAATATGCTTTTCCAGTTTTTTGTGGTGAAATTAGGTACCTCGTCTTATATTTGGATCAGCTTATACTTATCTGACTTTTGAGCTGGCCAATATTTTAAGAATTTGGATTTAATTTCACTGGCATTTTGCACAGTTGCTCTGTTCATTCAAAGGATCAAAATAATGAAACCCAGTCAATGTTTCATGCAAGACAGACACCGACAGGAGGTTACATTTGGTTTTATTTGTTCAAAGCAGCGGAATGTTCATTTCTTAAAGGCAAATGTCAGCATCAAATGTATGCAACCAATTCAAATATAAAAAAGAGTTTCTTCTTATTAAAAAATGCCACTGAAAGAAGACTTAGCAATTCAACTGATCTACAAATACTGTGTTCAGACTTATCTAAGGCTCTTTCCATTTGTAGAGGTGCACCTTCAATAGTCTTACCACAATAGTCTTAAATCTTAAGGATAAACAGTGACTTCCTCTAACATGATCCCAAACAACAGCCCTTGATATCTTGATATTCTCTCCTTGTATCAATAAAGCATGATGATGACATATTTGTGATTAAAACTCATACCCTGTGGGACGTCACTTCCTCTAACTAATTCAGGCCCAGCTTGGCAGGAATTGTCCTTTCCTGAACCTCTGTAAGATTTTAATGCCAAAACAAGAGTTATAGCAACAGGCAAGAATGAACAACATTGCATGTTTTAACCATCTTCTTCCTGGATGTTCTCATGTTCTCGATATATGCAGCTTCTTGCTGGGATTGAGGGTTCTTCCCTTGGTTTTCAATGTTTTGGAAGTATAACAGACAACTGCACCATGCTCTGAAACACAAAAGTTGGTACAAAGAAGACAAGCTGAATTGATAAGCAAAATCTTCAAGACTTTAAACAGTAACTCCCAGGGAGGAGACGGAAAGAAAGAAAGAAAGAAAGAAAGAAAGAAAGAAAGAAAGAAAGAAAGAAAGAGGAGAAATGTAAACGTGCTACTAATAGAAAATGTTTTGAATGTTTGTATTATTTTGTGTAGCACTATTCACAATAATTTTGAAACTAAAAAAGGCAAAAAAGTATATTGAAACTACAAAAAGGAGACCTTAAACAGTTACAAGAGAGAACTTGCTCTGCAAACTGTAAACAATATCCAGCTAATTTCCCTCTAACTTTTAACATCTCCCCCAAGATCAAGTAGATGAGTACAATAAATACTTTACATACTTATGTACAAAGTCTAGAAATTTCAGTCAAAAAAATCAATCCCCAACGCCTGGATTGACTGATCCATGGGACGACTGTGAGCACTGTACCATAACTGTGTACCTAAATCCAATTAGGGCCAATCTCAGAAATTTTATGAATCTCCATTAGTTGAGACTAAGGGCTCTTCCAGACATGCCCTATATCCTGTTGGAAATAGCAACCCTCCAAGCCTCCACAAACTCTTGGTAAATATGTGTAATTGTTAATCTATATTGTATGTACACTTTGGTTTGCCAGCTTGACTGTACCTCTTTGGTGTGGGAGGGGCTTCATACACAGGACTCCAATTTGTATTTAGTTTGCTTTTAGACCTCAATGGAGGTGGATGAAGTTTGTCTCTTTTCAGACTTCAGTGAGTACAGTTATACAGTTTGGACTATATCTATATGCTTAAAGACATTGGACTATGGACTGATATGCTGAATATATACAAGAAGTTTGTTAATAAGCAAGATATGTTATTTTTCAAAGAAGACTTTGTTTTTATCTCTGAGTGCATATTTTAACTAAGAGATTTCAAGGGAGTGTATATCTTTTGGTCAATTACAACTGCAAATTCTACTTCAAAGAAACAACCATCCTCTGCTAACCAAATATATTTTTGTAGTGCCATGTTTTTATCCTTGGCTATTTAAAGACATGGTTCTTCAGTTTAACAGCTGACTTACCTGTGTGCCATCACATGAATGATTATCAATGCCACTTGTTCAAAGAGTTGACTTCTAACAAAGTCATGCTTTTCTTGACTAGTGTTTTTCAAAAGGTCTCTATGTTCATGGAGATTAACTTTTGTCTAATGGATGTGACATCCTTTCCCCCCCCCCCCTCCGATAAGGTTATGGTGCGCTGAGGACTCATATAATCCTGTTTAACTCAGAAAACCTGGGATCAGATCCTGAGATATAGGGCCTGTCTGGAAGGGCCCTAAGCAACTGGTATAAGCCTTTATCTGATTTACATGCAGACATACATTGTAATCTACATCCATCTTGAACAAGAGCCTCGACACAACTATAACAAATACAATAAAATAATAGTATTACTTTCAAGTTCTGCAGGGTTTCTCCCCATTCCATGGATCCAATCTGAGGTATAGAAGTCAGGAGTAAACTGGTTGCTTTATTTGCATTTTCTTTCAACGTCTTTAGCACTTTATCCACTGAAACCTGCAAGTACAATGACAGATTCCTATAGTAACTACATGAAGATAGTTCAGACCTTATATTTTCTTGAAAAGGTAGTCATAAAATATATTATACACATTGACCTTGGACTAAATTCCACTGCTGTGCTTCCAAGTAAACACACATACAATAGTGCTGTCTTTAATATCTCAAGCCAATATTTAACATAACAAATCAGGCAGAAGTTCCTTGGATAGATACTAATTTGCATTCATCTATAAAACTCATACTTTTGGCCTCATGGGGAAACAACCACATCTGAATGAATCTTGCTGAGAGAACTCTGCGATAGGCCTGACTTAGGGTCACCATAAATTGGAAATGACTTAAAGATGCAAAACACCATAAAGAAAAATAT